ATAATCAACACTCTATCCAGTGTGCCACCTAGCTGCCTTAACAGAGAGAAAGAGAGAGAGAAGGACAGAGATATATTTGTGTATATACATGTATATACATATACGTATATAGAGAGATACATTTGTGTGTATGTATATATATATATATATACATATATATATATATATACATATAGAGAGGAGAGAGAGAGAAGTATGTATACATGTGTATGTACCTACAGATATATGAAACAGAGACATGAAGAGACATGCAGAGAATCGATGGGTAGGTGTATGTGACAAATACACACACACACACACACTTGATTTTTCAAAGGTTCTCTTAGGAGTATTTAAGCTCTGTTAAGGTCTTATCCATATGCAAAGGCTTCAGTATCAGCAGTCTGCCTTCTAAAAACCAACCTGGCTAAATTCAGAGAATCTCATTTTCAGAAGGTCACTTCCCTTTTTTTTCCTTTGTCATTCCTCAATTTTGTTGGGGGAGGGAGTAAAACAGAGGAGGGAGTTATGGCACCAACTCAAAATCAGCAACTCAACTAGAGCAAGGGGAGGATGTAATTAGTGCAGGAGCACTTTCCCTAGGGAAATCACAGATCTTTTGATGTTTTGAAGTTAAAAAAAAAAGTACCATGCATCTCAGCAATTTTCAAATATTAGCGATATTTGTTTCATGGAGACAATGTGGTGTAGTGAAAAGAATGCAGTATTTGATGTCAGAGTATGTTTGTTGCACAATACTCTTTCCATGTGCTACCTGTTGGACATTGGGTAAGTCACTCAGACTTTATGAACCTCAGTTTATTCACAACCTTTCAGACCTCTTGGAGCTATAAGTCTTTGATCTCATGATTCTAAGCTCAACTTAATCAAGAGTGTCCATGGGTAACAGTGCAGGAAATTTATGATAATTTGGCATTATTAAATAGTGGCCAGTAGGATAATTTGACCACTCACTGCTGGGAGTATTTATTACCCGAGATCTTCATTCTTTTATTTCAAATACAAAATAGGCGATGCTTCTGCTACTATTTGTTGTCTGACAGATAACACAAAGAGAAGTAAGAAAGGTCTATCCCCTCCCAACATTCACACCAGTATTTCCATAAGTTCAAAGCATTACCATTGGTACCACTGGGAATAAGTTCACAGCGTGGAACCGATACCAATTAAAAAGTGAGCATGATCAAATCAAGAACGTTTTAGATTTTGTTTAATTTCCAAGTTTATGAATTTCATCAAAGTTTCTAAAATTGATTGTGTCATTTTCAAGCTATCTTGTACAAATCTGTGACCAATTATGTTTCTGGAGCATATTTAACACTTCTCGTCCTTGTATGCTGTTTTCTAGCCTGGTCCTATCTAAAAACCACCCAAATAATTATTGGATGATTTTTAAAAAAAATCTACATCTAGTAGAACATACTGCAAAGGGTATTCTTCCTGGATAATTCCCCTCAGTAGGCAACTGTTAGAAGCAATAGAGTCTAATGGAGATTTCCTCCCTTCTCCACAGGCATTCTCAGAACTATAATAGCTACTCCTGGCAGGGGCTCCATTTTTTAATGGCTTCCACCGCAGATTGCCACACCTTCAAAATATTCAAACAGCTGTGTCACTGTTTTATGAAAAGCCAGAGGGCTGAACTTACTCCTGAAACTAGACTGAAAAACCTTTACTGTCTAGGTAGGGTTTCAAAAATTATGAACTTGCTATTAGTCTCATCTGATTGAAGATCCTATATTTGCCTCTAAAACTGAAATGTTTTGCATTTCTATGAGCCTCAAAATAATCTCTCTAAGCATGTGTGTCTGGAAGCATTTCCATTTCATTATAGCTTCAGAAGTCCCTAGGATACGCTAAATGCTTTAACTTTCATTTGGATTACCTGTGCTCTGTGTATTCCTATTTTTATTTATATGTTGGTTTTTTCCTACCAACCAATGATCTGGCTCCATTGTGAAATTTCCTTTCATAGTCATAGGTAACCTTCCCAGGACTTCATAGGAATTGCTAGGATAATACTGCTATACATTCTCTCATAATATTATTTGGGAGTAAATACTCCCAATTCATTTCCTTGATTGCTATTGGAATGTTCTCAGTGTCAAGAGAGAGGAAGTAAATAAAATACTCAACATGTAGGCTCTTTCCCATGTCACATTTGTGGGAGGACATAGACAAAAATTATATAGAATGAACAGGCACTGGTTTGCAATCTGTATTGTTGAAGGAAACAGTCCACTGATGGTTGATTGTATCATAGATATATTTGAGTATTTCGTTGATTTGATTTTACCACAGATATATTTGATTATTTCAGTACATAGTCATTGCCCTTTAGAGCCAAAGATGCTAATGCTTTATTTATGTGTATCATTGTCGATATACAAAATTATACACAACTATCACCCCTTCTGATATGTATTCGTTCTGTAGCTCTTAAAGGAATAGACTGGGATTCTATAAAATTTGTCAATATGCAACCCTCACTTTACTTAAGCAAGACATTATTGACTCCTTTCTCCTCTGCAATAGCAAATTACAAACCTCATTACTAGACATCTTCAAGCAGGTACCTGAGATCATTTATTTGAATTCTGTAGAGAGGATTCATTTCTGAGACAAAGGGTTGACTTAGGTAACTTCTAATGGCCCTTCTCACTCTAAAATTAAGTACTACTATCATCTATAGCTTTCCAATTCCCACAGTGCTAGAGCTTAGATTTATTTTAATCAGATTTTACTAATATAAAAATGTTCAGGGGCTGTCTAGGAGAATTGCCACACTGCCTGTTATGTTTGGAATAATAAGATCTTGGCCCCAGGGTAACAAAAGGAGATATGTATATACTCTCTGAGCAGTCTTCTGGCCGACCAGCCTTACACTATGAAGCTCTTTTCTGGCCATACATAGTCAAAGACTAACTTTATTCCCCTGTCCATGCCTTGGGCTATCATTACGCCATTTCACCCCTTTCTCACTCTACATATACTGCCTGACTCCCAATGTTTAGATTGCCCATTGTACCTACTCCTTGTCACTGTACCCCTCTGCCTACTCTCTCCTCCTTGGGGTTTAGAGTTTGTGGACCATTTGGCTACAAAGCTGTACCATCTGGGGGACAAGCCACCATTCCCCTCCATGTCTGATCCCAAATACCAGTTGCTTCATGAAGCAATAAGAGAGATGACCAGGGTGCCCTGGAGGTAGGATGCTCAGGTCTCCCTGTATGTTACCCAACAGAATCTTTAGCTACTTTTCCCAAGGTCTTCATCTTCTCCCTCTCCCGACTGCTCCAATTCCTCTCAGCACCAGAATTCTTGGTTCAGCTCTCCAAAATCCCTACAGTCAAGAATTCCCTTGTTCAGAGGATTTTATCTGCCAACCCAACTTGAGCCTCACCTGATAGCAGTTGTAGATGGGGAAATTTTATCTGGGACATCAGGGAAGCCAGGAAGCCAGGTGTCTATTTGTCATCCATCCTCTCCACATGACTGGTTCAGAGGGATTGGAAACACTTTTCTTTCCGATACCTTTGCTTTTCTGAATGGGGATTTCTGTCATTCAGTATTAAGAATGATTACACATATTCAACTGCTTAAAAAGCCAGGCATGATAAGCAGATCCTGACCTATGCAAAATAGAGAAGCAGATAAAGTTGTTTGTTTTTTGTCTGTGACACTCCCCATCTCTCAACACTCTTCTCATTCGTTACTCTTTCTCAGTGATACACTACCATCCTTCTGCCCTCTGACTACAAACTATTTAACTGGGGTTCCACATTATGGTGACCTCCCAGAGCAGCTTATATTTTGTGTCCCAAGTCCTCATCTTCTCGTTCTATGCCGTTCTATGGCTTGACCCTAAAGCATTGAACCACAGGAATTTTCATATTCCTACACAGACTACAGAGATAAAGATTTTTATTTACTTATTTTTTTTGGGGGGGAGGAATGCACAAAAGCTTTTTGGAATCCTTTAAACTTTCTGCCAATGTATAACAAGTATTAGGCCTGATAAAATATATACTAGGTCCAAGTTTTACATCCGTTAAAAGGAATTATGTACTATCAATACTCTGTAGTGTAGACTATAGATAACTTCATGCACCTCTACATACTCTACAATCAAGTGATACGGCCTCCTTATTGTTCCTTGCACAAGAGAGAACATCTCTTGAATCTGTACATTTTTACTGACTCTCCCCCATGCCCAGAGGTAGGTATATCTAAGTCTTATTTTCACTGTTATTGGCCTAAATTATGACAGATACAGTGTTAGAAGTGACACCAGGGACAAGGCAGTCCAAACCTTTCATATTCCACATGAGGAAACCAAGCCTAGTGATGTTAATTAAGTATGTCTCTTACCACATCAAACTGTCACACAGTCAATGGCATCTATTAACCTGCTATGTACTAGCCACTATGTTAAATACTGGGAGTACAAAAAAGCCAAAAATAGTCTTTGTCCTCTAGGAGAGCACTCTAGGATTTGCCTGTTCCCACCTATCCTTCAAAATGATGCCAAAATAGTCTTTTCAAAACAAAAAATATGACCATGTCACCCTCCTGCTCAAAAATTTTAACTGATTTTCCATTGCCTTTAGAACAAAGTATAAACACATTAGCTTGGTATTCAAGGCCTTCTACAATATGATTCCATACAATTTTACTCCAATTTCACATTCTTCTGCTTTAAGGACTCTACATTCCAGCCCAACAGATTAGCAGATTGATAGATTAATCAGGCACATCCTATGTTCTCCTGACCCTAGGCATTCATATCGGCTTTGCTCCACTCTCAGAAAACACTCTCTGCACATCTTTCCTTTTAAAACCCATCTCAGTCAAGGCTTTCTCATTCTTCACTTTAAAAGTGGCCTCTCCTTTCTAAACTTTTCCTAGAACATCTGTCTTGATCTCCTTTGCCCTTGCATTTTACCTTGTGGTAGACTAATTTCATCTCCCCTTCTTCCAGATTCCTTCCCCAACTAGATTGTAAATCTACTGAGGCTGCTTCACCTTTGCATTCTGTTATAAAGGATAGTTTCCTTCTACAAACCAAACCCTTAATCAACATGGAGCTGAATTAAATGGAATTGTAGGGTAAGAGCCACAATTCACCTAATTAAAATTAAAATTTAGCTACTTTATTGTGGAAATATTGAAGAAAAGGTCATCAGCAGTAGCAGCATTGTTATTAGGCAACTAAGTGGCACAGTGGATAGAGGGCTAGACCTGGAGTCAGGAAGACCTGAGTTCAAGTCCAGCTTCAGACACTAGTTGTATGACCCTGAGCAAGTCATTTTATCCCTCTCAGCTACAGTTGCTTCATCTATAAAATGAGAATAAAAATAGTACTTACCTCCTAGGATTTTTGTGAGGATCAAATGAGATATTTGTAAAGCTCTATGTGAAATCTCATAAAATTATATCAAGACTAGTTTTGATTATAATGATTTTTGGTTGTTCAATTGTTTAGTCCCGTCTGACTGTTCATGACTCCATTTGGGGTTTTCTTGGCAAAGATACTGTAGTGTTTTGCCATTTCCTTCTACAATTCATTTTACAGATGAGGAAACTGAGGCAAACAAGGTGAAGTGATTTGCCCAGGGTAACACAGCTAGGGTCTAAGGCCAGATTTGAACTCAGGAAGATGGGAATTCCTGACTAGGAATGGCACTTTATCCACTGTGCCACCTAATTTACATTCATATAACATGATTTTCTGAATAATTTTGGAAATTTGGTTTTCCTTTGTCTGCAATTTTTCCTTTTACCTACATTCCCTTTGTGTTTCCAAAGTTCCACAAGAAACTTTGAAAGAGTTTCATGCAGGTGTCATTCCAAGGACATCCCTGCCCTGCTGTAGACCATTAACTAGTATAAAAGGTAATAAGCACCTTATCAATGCAATTCACCACCTGGAGTCTCTGGAAAGAGATGGCCTTTACACATCAGCACATTACAAGGTAGTACTGATAACTCATTCCTATTCTTATAGCCATTCATTTTGTTTTCATGTTCCATCAAAGCATATGCATGCCTTTACTTAAAATCTACTGATGTACAGATTTCTGAAATTTTTAATATAGAAGAATTAAGTGTAAGGATTTGGTTTGCAAGATGAATCACCATAGAACTCTCTTAAATGGCAAGGTTTAAATGGTATTCAAAACATATTTGATTTGCACAGAACTTATTAGAAAAATACCAGGCATGCTGGCAAGTAAAAATACATTACACTTCAGTTAAAAATTAAAAAAGGCATTCTGAAATCTAAAACTCACTCATTTCTGACATTTGATGGTTTCCTTTTCTATTGAACCCTCAGGAAGTAGATTGTTATCTGTTTCCCTCTGAAAAAATATATATATTTTTAATAGTTACTCTTGCATTCAGAAAATAAGCCACACTCCCCCACCGCCACCTCTGAAAAAATATCTAGTTAATATAAGACTGAAATGTCATCTAGATTCAAAGGTACAGTTTTGTCTTCCGAACATATCACATTTTAGGATTTTGGCCCATGTTTGGGGATGTCCTAATATGCAGGACATCCTATATTCCTAATAGCCTAGGATATTCCTAATATAGAACTTCTAGGAACCTTAGAGAAAAAAGAATGTACCAGCTATATAACCAAAAATAAAATGACTCCTACCCTCATTCTACCAGGTGATACAACATATACATATATAAATCCATACAGAATAAATATAAGGTTGTTTTGGGGAAAAGAAGGCACTAGCAGCTGGGGAATCAGAGAAGGCTCCATGTAGAAGGGTTGTACTAGAACTGAGTATTAAGAGGTTCTTGGGGCAGCTCGCTGGTGAAGTAGATGGAACACTGGCTCTGAAGTCAGGAGGACCTGAGTTCAAATTCGGCCTCAGACCAAACACTTGACACTTACTAACTATGTGATCCTAGGCAAGTCACTTAACCCAAATTGCCTTACCAAAAAAAAAAAAAAGGTTCTAAGAGTTGGGGATGAGGAAGGACTATATTCCAGTTTTGAGAGCTAGCCAGTACAAAGGCATAAGGGTAGGAGATGGTCATGTATCCATAATAGCAACAGGCTCAGATTGCTTGAACTACAGAGTTTGAAAAAGGAAATAATGTATAATGAATATGAAAAGTGAGGTTGAGGTTTGGTTGTGAAGGGCTTTAAAAGCCAAAAAGAGGAGATTATATTTTATCTTTGAAGTCATAAGGAAACATTGGAATTTATCGAATAGACGAGTGACAAGGCAAACATACATTTAAGGAAGATCACTTTGGCAGCTATATGGAGGCTTCAGAGGAAATAGGAGAATTGAAATCAGGAAGAACCATTAAGAGGCTTTTATTATACTCTAGACAAGAGGCAATAGACATCTGAACTAAAGCAGTGGCTTGTCAGTAATGAGAACGGGATGGACATGGCAGACATTGTAGCAGGAATGACATGATTTGACAACATTATCTCATCATAAAGGAGTCTCTATCTTACAATGGAGAGGCAGTTGTCCCCCTTCACTGCCATCTCTCTCTAGCTGGCAACCAGGTCATGGCTTTACTAAGATACCTTTTTTATCTCCTTGTTATAGCAATTAAGCTGCAGTGTTTGTATGTCTGTGCAAAATTATCATAATTGGCATCTATGCAAAGTTCTTGTTAATTCCCCATATTTTCTAATCAATAACTAGCTTATTTGAGGTACTAAATAAGTGTTTGTTCAATTCAGATTGTATTTTTTTCCTATGGCACTTAACAAAAATTAGCTTCTATCATAATTATTTGTATCTTTTCATTTCTCCTAGATTATAAAATTCTTAAGGTTGAGGACAATAGTAGACAGTCAACAACAACAACAAAAGAATTTTTCAATAACAACTACTTAAATTAACTGGACATTGAAAGGTAATATGTGAGCTATGTGTTACCATTCTTAACTGATTTGTACTTAGGGAATTTTTTTCTTAATAGTTTTGTTCTACCTAATACCTAATATTCTGGATTAGTGCTAATACACTTTGTGTAAAAATATATCTGATAATAAGTTTCTAACATTCTAGCTTTGCTACATTGTAGGATTTCCCAATTTCCTATACTAAATAAGATGTCCTTCACTGTGTTTCTAAAGTTTGTCAATTAGCACAATGTTTGCAGGAACCTTTTAGAGCACCATTTTAACATCTGTTTCATTGACATTTTAGTTTTCAACAACTTCTTTCAGTAAAGAAACTTACCACTCTATTAAAAGAGTTACTTTTCTATGTTTTTATTTAATTTTATGTACTTTCAATTCTTGTGTTATTAAATGAGCATGAGGAAAGAAATGCACCTATCAAAGGGATTTAAATATTGGGTCATTTTAATAGCCCCAAAGTGAATGAATAAATGGTATGTTTATTTAAATCTGTTTGTCCGCTCCCTTCTAAAATGTTAATTGACTGATTGATTAGTTGTTTTATTCATTTGATGGAAGTTTACTTCTGTACTTCTCACTCTAGAAGTGTCCTCTACCCCTGTGGCCATTTATTTCCTCTGTCTGGTTCCTACCAGAACTTCTATTCCGAGCAGGATGCCCAGGCCAATCACACTTTGTTTCTCTGCAGGCTACATTCTTGACTCTGTAGACTTTCTCTCCAAAGAAGCCTCTTAACCTCATAAATGCATTGTACCCTTGTATCTTTCACTTTGGGAAAGGCTCTTCCTTTGATTGGCCAAACCTCCATTCTAAGGAGGATGCCTGGCTATCTATGGCCTCATTGTTTTCTAAGCTCCACTTTTCACTCTTTGGATGTTCTATATCACTATGGATCTCCTCTCCCTGACTTTTCAGTTTCCTTTTAAGCATTGTCTTCCCCCATCAGAATGTAAGTTCCTTGAGGGGAGGGACCTATTATCTTTTTGCTTCAGTGGGTTTTTCTAGCAGTACTAATATACTGAATTGACTTAAATATCAAGTGCTTTTTGATACTATTTTTGTACACTCTTATTTTCTTTTGATTTTATATCACAGCACCTATGTGTTCTGGTAGTAAGTACTTAATTTTCAATAATTACACAGTAGGTACTTAATTATCAATAATTTTCAAGAGCGTTGGGAATAGAAATGCTTCCAACCTTAGTGTCTTCAGCCAACATCATCCCAGGAAATAAACCCTGTGGGAGATGGAGCCTGGCAATTAGCCTGTGAACTAGCCACTGAAGACCCAGAAAAGAAAGTGCCTGCAACCTAGGCACTTGACACTGTCAAATGGTGCAACCTCAGAAATTGAAATCATTTTATCAATGAAGAGGTGTTAACATCTGCTTTGCTGCTGTACCTTAAGGACTATGAAATTTTTCCATTTGTCTTACAACTGAAACCTTCCATATGTTATGCCTCTCTCATTGGAATGAGCTCCTCAAGAGCAGAATACTGCCTTATATATCTATTTATATCCCCAACTTTGCATGTAGTGTGTGCAAACGCTTTATTCTAAGTACTTTATTCACATATTCATGCATTCATAATTGTTGCTGATTGATTACATTACTACTTATTCATATAAATATCATTTCAGAAAGATATCAATAGGAACATCCTTTAATTTTCATGGTGTGGACTTTTTTTTTCTTTACGTGCAATTGACCTATTGTTTTACTTATCCCTTCGTGCTTTTTTTGGAAAGCATTAATATTAATCTACATTCTATTTGTTACTATATAAATATTACAGTTTTTGGCTGACTTCAGAAAAACCTGGGAAGACTTATATGGTCTGATGCTGAGTGAAGTGAGCAGAACCAAGAGGACTTGGTATACAATAGCAGCCACGTTATGCAATGACTAAGAATGTTAAACTAAACCCTTCTCAGCATTACGAGGATCTAAGACATCTCCAGAGGCCTCGGGATGGAAAATGCTGTCCACATCCAAAGAAAGAACTATGGAAGTCGAATCGCTATCACTTATTTTTACCTTCAGTTGAGTTTTGTTTCATCTTTCTGATGGTTCCTCCTATTAGTTTTAATTTTTACATACAACTTCACTAATGTGAAAATATGTTTAATGGGTATGTAAATGTAAAACCTATGTCAGGTTGTACGCCGTCTTGGGGAGGGTGGGGGAAGGAGAAAAAGGGAGAAAAAATTTTCAACTCAAAAGCAAAAAAAAAAAATTAAAAAAAGAAAAAGAAAAATAAGAAAAAAATTACAGTTTTCCTTTTGAGTGGTCATACTAAGAGGAATTTTATAGTACAAGTGAAATAGAGATTAATTTGAATTTGTGGGTGGGGTGGAGGCTGAGGGCACTGACTTTCAATGACTGTGTGGCCTTGTCTTTCTCAGCCTCCTTTAAAGGCACTTAAGTGACTAATACATTTTCAGAGATTTCTAAAAAAGGAATTCACACTTATAAATTGTCTTCTCTTGGGGCTGAAAGGTAATAATACTCTTAAATCACTTTATTTATTTTTTTTATCATCTCTCTTTCTCAGGGACCTTAGAGGATGGAGATCAAGAATTCTCCTCCATGGACACATAGATATAGGATAAATCTCCTGCTGAATGCAGCAAGAATATTCTGGATGACAAAGATCTGTCAGATTAAGGAACTGAATGAAGAGTTCAGAAAACAATATTTTTTAATAAGTTGGCACAGGAATAAAATATATCAGTGAAGAAAGAACTTGAACCTGATGCATCTCTCTGTTACAAGAAGAGGATCTGAGGCATGTAGGTGGCACAGCAGATAGAGTTCTGTGCCTGGGGTAAGGAAGACCTAAGTTCAAACTCAACCACAGCTACTTACTAGCTGTGGGGCCTTGGGCAAGTCAGCAAACCTCTGTTTTCCCTAACTGTAAGATGGGAATAATAACATCTATTTCCCATGGTTGTTTTGAGGACCAAATGAGATATTTGTAAAACACTTAGCATAGTACCTGGCAGATGGGGGAACTATCTAAATACTAGCTACTCTCAGCTATAAATCTGATACATGTGGACTTACCTTGAAAATTTTATTCTTCAAAACTTGGACATAAAAATTGGGCAAAATATTTTCTTGGTTCAGATTCTAACCAATTAGAAGGAACTGGTTGTCAAAGTAAAGACGATGGGAACTTTGGGAAGAGAGACTGCATAGCCTTAGATTTTATAATGCAATAAAGAGCTGGCTGTATTAATGATGTCCATCTTGGATTTTGGGATAGTGGATTTAAAAGAACTAACAAAAATAACAGGTGAGATAACCACGCTTAAACTTGGACATGCTAGGTATAAAGGGCAAGGCATTCTTTGAAATGAAATTTTCATGCAACACGTATAAATGATGCATATGAAGGCAGAAAAAGGTGAACTATTTAAAGAAAAAAATGTAGGTGCACAAAGAACTAATCCTGCTTGGGATTTTTTTTAATACGTATACAGCAGAGGGAAGCAATGACAGGTAACCAACAATGTAGGTGAATAGCATAGTTTTGTAAGAATAGTGTGAGTAATACCAATGCTAAACATTACCTAGGACAGAAAAATGAATGCTAAGAACAACATAAAAAAAACCTTTTCAGGCCAGAGGAGGGATAGAAAATCACATCTTTACTGTCACATAATTGACTGTCAGTTATAGGGAGTACAAGATCTCATTGTATTTATTGTTTGTTGAATATAGTGAAAGAATTTGTTTCAATAAAGCCACATACCTCCTTAAAGGCTTTCCTCTATCAACTCACCTCCCATTTACATACCAAAATTGCAGATTACTTGAAAGTTATCAGAGATATAACTTTTTTGACCTTTCAATTATAAAATTAAGCAAGTCCTAAAACAGAGAGATGAATACTCACCAAAGTATTCATCATTGTCTTGTTGGAGGTTCAATTCAGAGTTCAAGCGTTAGAGGAATTCCCTCTGGGTGGTGAGTTCTTCTAAGTCTGTTAGTGAATGATGTTGTGTTGATTACATCAGTCTCTAGAACATTAAAGAGCCTCCTAAATTAGGTCTATAATCATTTTTCAAAGTCCCACATGATTCCTAACGATCCATACAGGAAAAAAAATGTAGATGAAGCACTTGATACATGTTCTTTTATTCAGTCTTTCATTCATTCAGAAATGATTAGTATATTATTAGAGGGCTATATGAATAGAAGATGCGAGCTAGTCATACAAGACCAAAGGCTAACTGAAGCATAACATATATGTTCCAAGGGTGTCCACATAATGTCAAGAGAAGAGCTTCTACCTTCTTGGCCAGACCCTCTCTTGTAGGATTTATAGAAGGACATGGACAGACACAAAAGTTGCACCAAATGAAAGAGCATAATGGATGGGTTCTAGTCTATATTGTTGGAGGAAATACCTACATGGATGCTTTAAGATAAACTGTTTCTTTATTTGGCTTTATATGGCTCATTTCATATGGAAATGTTGATAATGACAAGAGCAGAATAGTCATTGCAGGAGAAGGAGAGGCAAAGGAAGAGATTTCTATTAATTGTCAAAGGATATCAGGTATTGTCCCTATGATGAATGAACATTTTGATATCTAGGTGAAACAACTTTTAGTTGGGATTTTGGAAAATTTGGAAGAGAAAATGACCTGTAGTGTGGGTTTGGACTTAGATCTCTTTTTAATAATGTGCAATGATGCTTTGCTTGTGTGGATACAGTTCAGCATCACAAAGAGGCAGAAATAGATGTTTTATTTATTTAAAAGATTGAGAAATACTAGTGTGAAGAAACACAATTTCATGGGCACCAAAGAGACAAACTGCCTCATTGGAGATACAAGAGAAGGCATGATGGGTACCTCAGCTAATGCGCATATCACTGTTTTATTACTAAAGCAGATAAATCTAAGAAAATGAGAAAAAAATATATTTGATGACTATTATTGAAAAAAAGTCTGTCACTATGATATGAGCTATGAGTAAGCACACGAATTTTCTTTATGTGTTTCCATACCAGCTTCCAAGAAGTGTGGGCTCATTCTTCATGATAGCAATTGGGTGCATTCTTGGAATAGTGTGGTCTGGGTTTATATGCAAAGTGTAATGTATTGTATTATTTATTTATTTGCTTTAATATATTAGTATTTATCTTTGTCTTGTCCTTAATGTTTTTATTTAATATCTAAAAGTGTCATTATTGAGTTTGACTGGCTTTGTAAATATAAAACATATTCAGTGGGGGCTCAAAAGATAGAATGGTAATGTAGGGGAAATGTATTTTTCAGCTCAACAGTGTTATCTCTAGGACCATGAAAGTGTTTGAATTTAATTATGTAATTGTGGGAACTTAGACCTGCTGGTGTGAAAGCAGGCTGGAGAAGTAAGCCAAATACAGAGAAAAGAGACAACTCCCCCCCCAAACCCCCCAACCTTGTCTATAGTCCTCCATTACTAGCTTCACAACAATATCACAGATCACACTGAAGTATCAAAAGGAATATAAAGTCCTATACTTGTGCTTTAAAACAAACAAAAAAGCATAATTGCACAATAACCAAATGGCGAAGATGAGGATTTTCCATGTGAAAAAGACCAGAAGATGTTACTGTGTTACAATATGAAGATGAATCAGCAGTGTATTATGGCATCCAAGAAAAAGTTAATGCCTACTTGGGCTATAGTAATAGAAGCAGAGTATACACAATGAAGAAGCTATAATCTCTCCTACGACCACCTTTGGAGTACAGAGTTCAGTAAAGGGCACTGTATTTTAGGTAAGACTTTGGCAAGATGGAGTATAGCCATATGAAGGTGAACAGAATGGTGAGAGTTCTCCAAATCATACCATAGAATGGTCAGATGAAGTAACTATTGTTTCCATCGGAGAAGAGAAAGCTTAGAAGAGACATAATACTATCTTCACTGTAGGTGCTTAATGTTTATTGACTTACTGGTCCCTTCTCTCAGCCTCTCCCCCTCCATTCTAGTTCCTTCCCTCTACATTGTAGAATACAATTGAAAGAGGGAGTAGACCTATTTTACCTAGTGCTACAAGGTAGAATAAGGAACAATGGGGTGGAAAATGCAGAAGGGTAGATTTTGGCTCAATATTTTTCAATAAAACTAACCGAGGGAGCTGTGCAGAACAAACAAAAAAAATGGATTGGGCTGTCTCTTAAACTAGAGATTTCCACAGCCCTAGAGGTCACCAAATGAAGTCTTGAACTTTTGGAGAATTTTGCAGGTCCTTTGAAGCCACCTCTAGCTATGATACTTGGGTGGTGGGTAAGCACTGGCCATTCTTTAATCTTCCTATGAAGTCATCATTCAAAAGAATATTTATCAAACATCTACTTCCATTTAATATTTAATTTAATTTAATTTTAATTTAATTTCCATTTAATTGTTAGATGCCTTGCAAATAGCTGGATAGGTCAGGTTGCTACCTTCCAGAGTTTAGTCTCACAGTTTTATAACTGAAATCAGAAAAAGAAGTGACGTGCACACATATGAAAAGGACAAACGATGGGGTAAAAATATTTAAATAATTTATGAATAAGTAGTAATGTATAGTCAAACTTCCTTTAAATTCTATAATTATGTTCATAAAATAGGAGTGAACAATGAATAGAAAATGCAGTGCTATCTCTCTAGACATGACAAAGCTGTATGTCATTATGAAAAAAGGGATTCATGTCTTTAAAAAAATCTACTTGTGGCATGAAATGTAGAATAAAATATTTAGTAGTGAATGGGATGTCCCAGTGAAGACTTTTCAGTGTAATTAAGGTAATGAGTTCAGAACGTAGTGTGAGAAATGAA